TATACCACCAAAGCTTATTACCTCTTGAATACTCTATTAAAATTTGAATAATTAAGATCATTGTTTTTTTTTAATTTATAACAGTTTTAAAATGTAGAAAAAAAAATTTGATAATGCATTTTTAACGGTAACATTGTTTTGGGATATTTTTTAAATTTCTAAAATTGATCTATTTTTTTTAACATGTTTGCTTTGATAGGTTTAACAATTATTTTCAGAAGGAATTTCTTATTCATATTAAAATTCTTTTTTTGTGTCTGTCATTTATTTTCTTAGCTCTCACTTGACCATATTTTTTTAATAAAACGTTAAATTATCACAACTTTTATCTAGTTAAAGATGATATTACCATCAAAAATTGAAAAAAAAATCACCCTTATCAAAAAAAAGTTGCTTAACAAGTGTAATAACCAATAAAAAGAGAGTGAGGAGAGAGTGAGAGAGTANCCCTTATCAAAAAAAAGTTGCTTAACAAGTGTAATAACCAATAAAAAGAGAGTGAGGAGAGAGTGAGAGAGTAATGGTGAAGTTAGATACCGTTAGATAATATAAATAAATTAATAGAAGGGATCGTTAGATATGTGAAGTTAGAACGAAGATATATTTAAGCGAAAGAAGAAAATAATAAATTATTAATTAAAGTGTCTTTTATTAGTTATTACTATTAATTGTAGTTAGTGTGTTAAACTACTCTTACCTGATATATCTTGACTGCAAATCTTGTTTTACGGTGTAGAGAGGAGAAGAAGGCGAATTAGATTATTAGATGTTAAATAAATAGAAAAACAGTTTATTATATAAGCATATATTATAATTCAAACATGAATTTACATTAAATTAAACTATTAAATTATATCAAGAATAAAAACACCAAGTCACAAAGTAAGACAGATAAAAAGACCGCAAAGTAAAAGAGTGAAGTTGAGCACTTAAGTCTGAACGCTTGAGGTGGAAAAATAGAAGTGACTCTTCGACGGATTGTCAAAAGCTGATGAGATCCCAGAGGGCTCTTAGGTCTGTTATAATGAATCATGGTAATAAAAATTTTATGTGATAATATACGTTATTTAATTAAAAAGAAAGATGTCCTTTACAACGCGGTACGAGAATTGATTTGTGTAAACAAGCAATGATAAGTAATACGTTGTATATTGCTAATCCATACGTGCAGCTGTATGAACTCATTTATGGGTTTTACGGCAAGGACCATGCAAACAAAATTAAACTATTATACGCCTCAGCGGCGTCGACATGTCACTGGCCATCGCCAACGAGACGTCTGAATTCAACTAAGTATCAAAAGAATATTACACAAGCTTTCTCCATATAATAATTAAAATTATTCAATTCTAATATTTTAAAGTAATTACTGTAGAATTTGGTTTAATATGATCTATTACAATAAAAGTGCAAAAAAGATATTGAGCTTTTCTATTAATCTTAACAATTACATTTTTTTAATTCTCATAAAATTTTTATTTTGTTGTCAATTTCAAACTTGCAAATCGAGTTAAAAGTCATGATAACAAATTCAACTTTTTTTTATTATAAACTTTCAAAAAATGTACTTATAGTAGTAATATAAAAAAAACACTTTGTTTGAAAAGAATGGGTGACAAACAAAACGAAGTACATCATAGTAAAACGAAAAATTTAGATATCAAAGACAATAATCTAAAAAAATAAAGTAATTGATCGGAAAACTCGTAATAAATAATAAATAGATAGCAATTAAAGATCTTATTAAAGTTCCACTGTGCCAATTTTCTTTTTTATCAAATGATAAATCTTATTTACCAAAAATTTATGTATTATATTAAGGAATTGATTTTGTTTTTTTACTGTTTCCTGAAAATGTTTTTTGTAACTTATACGGAAGTCTTTGTAAGGGTTTCATTTATAATTAAAGGGTAAATAAGATAAAGAGAATCTGGGTAGTACAAACAAAATATGTTAAAATTAAAAACATCCAACATGATTAATAAAATATTAATAATAATAAAAAAAATTAGGAAACCTGTTGTAAGTGGTTTTTGAGAAAGAATAATAGAGAAATATTCTGTATTATAAACAATCTACCAATTGAAAGAGGTTATTATTTTTGTAAGAGCATACTCAACCTTATTAAAATCTACTCTTTTTTTTATTACTAAATAAGTATAATAAATTACATAAACAATTTTTGTCAAAAAAAAAAAAAAAAATACATTCTAATAATAAAAAAATGTAACATATATATAAATATGATGTTATATAACAAAGACATTTTATAGCTATAATTGCTGTGTAGAGTTACCATTGTATGTATTATTATCATCATTATCATTAGAGTGGCGACGTTTTTTTTTCTGGTCTTTTAAACTATGCACATTTGAAGAGCGTTTGTACACAAATTTACTGTTAGAAAAATAGTATTCATTACAATAGAGATTAAAATTTATGACTAAAGAATAAATACCTTTCATTAATACTGTTTATGTTAGGATTAGTTGATTTATTTTTAGATTCAATTGACTGTGAATTTCTAAAGTAACTTGTCACATAATTTTGAACAATATGGTATGGTTTAATAATCAATAATTGAAAAAAATTCACTAGTAAAGTAAAATAATTGTTTAAAGTCATAATGCCTTTTTGACTGATAGATGGAACCTTTTGAATAAAAATTTACAATTATAATAAAGTTATGGTTATAAATTTAAGGACACATAATTTATAAGACAGCTTAAATTTGTTCCTCCACAAGCTATTATGTAATTATTTCCTTTTTTTTAACAAACAAAATTACTCTCACTTCAATATTCTTCAAAATACTTGTTGTCAAGTTGATAAAATAAAAGGTATTAAAAAAGCAAATAAATAATTATAACTAAGAAATATGTATAAAACTGCCAATCATATTGGATGAACTCAAATAGTATATTAAAAATTGTCAAAAAGTGACACTTTAGAATATTTTTTAAATTCCTTTTACTATGGCTGATAAACTAGTTTACAAGAAATTATCTACAAGGTGAGATTTTCTTATGGATGAGAGAAATCAACCAATAATTGGATTTTTAAACAAATTTGAGGAAAATTCAAATTTGTTGTGTTTTGTAATTTTATAAGGATTTTGCACATTTTTATGCGAGTCATATTAATATATTAATCAGTTTTATATTTACAAATCTATATTAATCTTTCACCAAACAAAGATCCCTTATGCTGAATTCAAATTGTAATTTATGATATTTTCTTTATTTTTTAAAGCTACTTTTTCCAATGTTAAGAGAAAATTATATTACCGGTTGCAAATAGATTGTTGATGATGGACATAAACATAATTCACTCAATGTTAGATGAAAATCTTCTTCTGTAAAATGTCTATGCGCAATAAATTTAATAGGCCTATCAATTAATAAAAATTAAATCTTAGAGTTAATCATATTTTTATAAAAACTAATGTTTATAACTAATTAAAATTAATATATACCCAGATGGAAGAGAAATATTGTTAATGGCATATGATTTGATTTCTTTAAGCAAAGTAGTTGTTTTAAATTCATGAATCAATGAAATATTCTTAGATGGGATTATAAACTTTATCTTTGTATTGTTAACAAATCTGAAAACATTATTATAAGTAAAAAATAATTTAATAGCATAAAATTATATGAAATATGTTAAAAATAAATTATTAAAATGCATTAGAAATTATTTCTAATGCATTTAAAAATTATTTGTTAAATGCAAATATTTAAATAATTTGAAGAAAAATCTTACATTAAGATATAATATGTTTTCACATTTTATATTATACGTACATTTTTTTGTCTAACATATCAGTTTAATTTTTACAATTTTTGAAGATGGGCTAAAGAAGTTGAAGTTTGTCAAAAGGGGCATTTTTATTTTTTTTTAAGCTTTGCTTTTCCTGTTTGATAAGTCAGGACGGTGTTAGAGTGAGTGGATGACTGACATGTGTGGAGATTAGGGAGTACTTGGCATCAAAAAAGTCCTATCAAGTCCCTAATTTATCAATTTATAGGTCCAATACAATTTAATTTAGCAAATCTTCTAAAAAAACCCAAACAAAGTGAGAGAAAATGAAATAATTTTGATATAAGGTTAAATGCAGCTGAGACAACTTACTTAATGTTAATATCTGTTTTTTTAAGTCATATGATAATATAGTAAAAAATGTTTATGCCTATTAAAATACTTTGACAGTAGAATATAAAATTAAGTAAAATATATTAAATTTATAACAATTACTTTTTTGTATCTGCAATTGTAGGAGTATTGTTTTTTTCAATTGATATATCTTTGAACATAAACTGAAATAAAACAAAAAAGTTTATAAGAAAAATACAATTTGAAATTTTAATAAAATATTTCAAAAAGATATGTATTGAAATAACCTGAATAAATAGAAAAAAGAATATTTTAATTCATTTTTAGAAATAAACAGATATTAGGTTTTACTATAATTGGATAAAATGATTAAGATGACAATGCTATTTTTTTGCTGATAAACTAATATTAGGAGTTATCATATTAAAAAATCTTTGCTAAAAAAACTTCATTATTTCAAATACATTTATATTTATTAATATTTTTACAAATTGTATTTAATTAATTCTCCAAAATAAAGAAAAATATTGACTACTTACTAAAATAACTCAAAAAATTAATTTTATATTTCAAATTTAAATGCATGAAAAATTACCCTGTTATCAATTTTTTCTAAATATTCTAAGTACTTCTTTTTTTTAATTTCTTCATATATATTGTCTAAAACATAATAAGAAAATAAAAATATTAAGTTTTATTTTGTTATAAGTGTTTAACCACCAAGTAACTCATAAAGTTAGATTAATATTCATAGGAATGCTTAAAAGGAGTAATCGTTTAGTGAGGATTATATAAGTATCTATTATATATAGGATTATTATAGGATTAATATAGGATTATATAAGATACTATATAAGTATCAAGTACAAAAAGCTGTACTATAAAGTTATATATTAAATTTTTTAAGATAATCCACAGAAATTTTAACTATCTTAATATTTTTTGCATTACACTAATTTATATTTTCTAATAAAAAATTTGGTCAATGAATTTTAAATAATAATTAAGCATGAAATCCTGTGGGTTATGTTTATTGTAGTTAACAAATATTACTAGATGCTCTTTAACATCCAAAAACAAATTTTTTGTTTCTTAAGTATCCTAAAATTAGAATTATGATAAAAATAAATTAAAATTTTTAAAACAAAATATAGGATCACATAAATTAATTAGATACCCCTATGGTGCTACAAAATTATTGTTTGAGATCTACTAGTATATTACACATAGTTTAAATAGTTATTCTACTTATATAGAGAACTTAAAATTGTGCTTAAGTTCAGTTATAAAATAAATATTTGCAAATAAAATCTGTAAATACATATGTTATCAATAACCTAATATATCATTTATGGAGTTTTTGATTGCCAAAAGTAAATCTCTTTTTAGACTAATTTGATAATTGGATGAATGAATAATATCTGATTTCTTTAGTATTCGCTGTTCAGTATTATTTTTTTCTAACACGTAAACTGATGGAATATCTATATTATGAACTGATAATAAATAGTTAAAAAAAATATTCTAAAATAATAAGTATGATATATAGATAACAAAATACACTACACAAATATTGTTTATAAAAGGATACATATCACTTTAAATTTATCGAAGCTAGAACTTATAGGATCCATCTTAAAACAAATAATAATTTCATTATTTAATAGTTCAATAATATCAGAATCTTCAAAAATATTAAAAATTTCATCATTATCTTTGCCTGGAATCAAATATTTTAAATTTTTATTAATTTTTTAGTTAAAGAAACCTCCTCTATGGTAGAGTTAGCAATATTTCATATATATTAAGATATTGACTAAATAATTATTTATTAACATTTTTACCTATGTAAATAACAAATACACAATTCTTTTGAATCATTATCTGTAAAGCATCTTTAGATTCTCCATCAAACCAATTTATACGAGACATCTTATTATGTTGACTTAATTGAATAGATTATCTAATGATTGATCTACTGAATTGTAGCTAACCTGTCAACTAATATTTCAATTAATCAATTAGAATTATTATTTTAATTTATAAAAATATATTATTTACTACTGATGTATGTACTTAATTAATTAAATTCTACCAATTCAATAATTAGTGTATCGAATCGTCAAAACAATTTAGCAGCTCATAATTAAATAAAAAAATGTTCTAATATTTATATACAGTGATAAAGTGATATCACTTGTATTGTAAGTATTGATAAAATAAATTGGGGCGCGTACAAATCGGGATAATTATTCGGTAGGATCAGTGGTAAAATTGGTCTTTTATGATCAAATATTTATCAATGTAAGAATATTGGTAGTAATGTGAATTATCAGAAACCGTACTTTTTGTGATTGATATAGTGTAAGAATGATAAAAAAATCCGGGAAACATGATACGAGAAAATACAAATAAATAATAAATTTACATAGATGACACTGATCAGTAATCGGATTCCGAATATTTTGATATATTAAATTACGTGTAAAACATTTGAAGTGTATTTAAGAATAATTTTTCAAGAATTCCAACCTTCTAGATTTATCATTTTATAAAGATATTACCTTTATATCGATGACTTATGATTTAAATAATTATATTGAGAACCAGTGGCATATCCAAGGGATCTAAAAGGTTAAACTCTCTATTGAAAAATGTTGAGAATATCTAATACCCTCATATACTGATAAGAACAATGGAATACCCTTTTCTTGCTTATTGAAAATCATGCATAAAACAAACTTAAGGGGGAATATTACAGTGTTATATAACCCATATAGAACGTAAAACTATATAAGGTTTCACCTTAAAATAAAATATATATTTTAGCTTCGATGCGAAGCTGAGAAGGTATTGGTTTTACTAAGATGTGTTTTTTTTTTTTTTTTGTGTCTGTTACCACTTTTTCTCAGCTCTCACCGAACCGATTTCTTTTAATGATACGTCAAACGATCACAAATCGTATCTAGTCGAAGACATTACCCTCAAAAATTGAAAAAAATTCCCTCGTTCCCCGTAAATGGAGGAAACCTCCAAAAAAATTACAAATTTAAAAATCGCTAATTTTCGAAAATTTTTCAATTTTTTTTACTTAAAAGTGCCATAACTTTTTCAAAAATGAACATATCAATATAATTCTTTTTTTTATAGATGCATGATGTCATTACCTATCATTTGGTATATTTTTTTTATAAATCTGACTTTTTACCTGCCCACAGGGGGGGATTTAAAATGACAACTTTTTTACAAAAAATTAATTTTTTCAACTTAACTTTTGAAAGTGTTCCAGAAGGTCTGACACTTTTATATATATCTTAAATTAAAGCTAATGTAATATACTTTATTATGGTAAAAAAAAATTTCGGACTTTATTTTATCTTCATGGTGAAAACAGACATTAAACTTAATAAAAAAAATACGATTTTTGTAAAAAAATTCTTTTTTATATTTTTAACTTTATAATGCTATAACTTTTTGAAAGATGTATGGATCAATATAATTCTTTTTTTTGTAGATGCATGATGTCTTTACCTATCATTTGGTATATTTTTTTTATAAATCTGACTTTTTACCTGCCTACAGGGGGGGATTCAAAATGACAACTTTTTCACAAAAAATTGACTTTTTCAACTTAAATTTTGAAAGTGTTCCGGAAAGTCTGACACTTTTATATATATCTTAAATTAAAGCTAATGTAATATACTTTATCATGGAAAAAAAAAATTTCGGACTTTATTTTATCTTCAAGGTGAAAATGGCTACCAAATGCTATTATTGTGTGAAAATTCTCAATTTTATTTTTTACATTTTTAACATTATAATGCTATAACTTATTGAAAAGTGTATTGATCAATATAATTTTTTTATGGGAAATACTATTTTCTAATAATCTCTTTTTTATTCGACATACTTTGTCTTAATCAGGATATTAATAAGGAACTAGCAGTTTATGAAGCTTTTGGAATAATCCACCAATTTTTTAAAATTAAACACTATCTAAAGATTTGCATCGAAGCGTTTTTTTTTGATAGTGATTTTAATCACTGTCAGATATCATTATACTTGATCCATCTATGCCACGTCACCACTGTGCCGCGACCCCCCTGTGCTGGGTTTTTTTATCAACATTTTTATATTACTTTTCGGGAACCCTCCTCTCACATAAACAAGAAAATCTAATTAAAAAAGATTTTAGAAAATAAATTAGAAAAATTAGTGTTTATCTACCCTTGGACATCAATTATTATTTAAAGAAACAATACTTAACCTGACACACAAAACATATTAAGACGTAAAATGTTTTTGTTAGCTTCGATGCGAAGCTGAGAAGGTATTAATTTTACGATGATGCGTTTTTTTTTATTTATTTATTTTTTTTTTTTTGTGTCTGTATACGCTTAATCTCAGCTCTCGCTGGACCGATTTTCATGAAAAATATGTCAAAAGATCACAAATTGTATCTAGTCGAAGACATTACCCTCAAAAATTGATAAACTTCCCTCGTTCCCCGTAAACGGGGGAAATCCCCACAAAAATTACAAATTTAAAAATCGCTAATTTTCGACATTTATTCAATTTTTTTGACTTAAAATTGCCATAACTTTTTTAAAAATAACCGAATGATTATATTTTTTTTTATAGATACCTTAGGTATTTACTTATCATATTATATATTTTTGTGAACATTTGACCCTTTACCAGAAAGGGTTTCAAAATGGTAATTTTTTTACAAAAAATTAACTTTTTCTTTTTTTTTACCAACGGTAGCGACGTACAGTTGCCGAGTCGGTAAAACTTGTGATTACTATTACTTCTATTTAAGTTTTCTATTACAATAATAAATATAGTTAAAAAAAACTAAAAAAACACGCTTTTAAAGCACATCGAACTTAAAGGTTAAAAATAATTTTTCATGATTACTGTGTACACATCCAAACTTGGCATTAATACCATGATAAGAAATTAGATAAGGCAATTGTTACTTATCACTCTCATTCAAAAGTATACTGAAAAGATAGCGTTTTCTTCTGTCCTTTTCTCAATACGTATTTCAATGTTTAATACCGTAAAATAATACATGAAAATTCAAATTTTCACAAACTTCAAAACGCTACAGAATATTTACTACTCAATATTAATAAGATATTTTTTTACTAAAATTTTTCTTAAATTCTACTCTACAAAATAGCTATCTTAGATTTTTTTTTTACATTTTATTTAAAANAGATTTTTTTTTTTTTACATTTTAGTTTAAATTTAAAAATAAATAATATTTTTAATAAAATGTATAAAAATTAATTATTGAGATATAGCTATGGACCTAACGTATAACTATTATTTAAAAAAAAAATCAGCTAAAAATATTAACTGAATCAAAAGTTATTGAAGTTGTCAGTGAGTGGTGGGACACTCTGTATAATATTGATGACAAGCACGCGTGTACGGGTACGATAACCAAAAATAGTTTTATACAGAAGTAGTGTTGTGTTGTGTGGTGAGCGAGGCGTAGGGTAGGGTGAATGCGTTATGACAGTCTAGTCTCAAGGCCATAGACGATGGAATATGCGATAACGCGTGGAGAGTTACAAACATACATACATACATACATACAGGTGAAACTAATATAAGCGTGTTAAAAATGCAATAAAATATTGAGCTATTCTGATAAATTTACTACAAATAGTATTTATAAAACTTCCTAACTGCATATTAATCTTAACGATATAATTTTTTTAATTCTCCTAAAATTTTCTATTTAATGATGACAATTTTAAACTTGCAAATTGAGCTAAAAGTTAGGGTAATAAATTAATTTTTTTTTAGTATAAACTTTCACAAAAATAAACTTTAAAGGATTAAAAAAATTGGTTTAATATGTCATTTTCCTTATTTTTAACATATTAATAATCAAAATCAGTATTAATAGTTTTTTTAACACGCTTTTATTAGTTTCACGTGTATGTTTGTTGTTGTTTGTTGTTTGTAAGTTTGTAACTCTCCAAACGCCACGCGTTATCGCATATTCTGTCGTCTAGACTAGACTGTTATACGCATTCACCCCTCCCCACGCCTCGCTCACAATACGACGGTACACTATTCCTATAAAAATTTATTTTTAGTTATCGTACCCGTACACGCGTGCTTGTCATCAATATTATATATATGTAAACAAATTTTTATTTTGACTGACCAATAACGCCCGCGTCTAATGCGCCTTACGTATATATATATATATTCCTACCGCCGTTTATACCTCGGGTATAACGTTAGTCCGACCCGCCCGGCCATAAAACACAGCTATACTTAGTGCATGATACTTTTACGTAGTTAAGTCGCATTATTTGTATAAATATATATATTCTAATTACTATTAAAATTAATATATTAACACGATTTATTCTAATTAAGAGATATAAAGTATTCATTCCGATTACGAGGGATGATTTCCGTATCGTCATTTTTCGTCACTACCTCCACGTTCCGGGAGTGAGTAATTTACGCGCCTGCTGCTTTCCTTGGATGTGGTAGCCGTTTCTCAGACTCCCTCCCCAGAATCGAACCCTGATTTCCCGTTACCCGTAACAACCATGATATTGATAGTAACTACTATCATAACATGAAACTAAAAAGTAAAAAATAAATATAGTTTAAAAAACTAAAAAAACACGCTTTTAAAGTACATCGAACTAAAAAGTTAAAAATAATTTTTAAAATAATTATGAACAAAAAATACTAGTATTATTGTGATAAAAGCGTGGGTGCTTTGTGCCATATTTTTCGTATATTGAGCGCCCGACGCTTTTATCACAATAATACTAGTATTTTTTGTTCATAATTATTTTAAAAATTATTTTTAACTTTTTAGTTCGATGTACTTTAAAAGCGTGTTTTTTTAGTTTTTTAAACTATATTTATTTTTTACTTTTTAGTTTCATGTTATGATAGTAGTTACTATCAATATCATGGTTGTTACGGGTAACGGGAAATCAGGGTTCGATTCTGGGGAGGGAGTCTGAGAAACGGCTACCACATCCAAGGAAAGCAGCAGGCGCGTAAATTACTCACTCCCGGAACGTGGAGGTAGTGACGAAAAATGACGATACGGAAATCATCCCTCGTAATCGGAATGAATACTTTATATCTCTTAATTAGAATAAATCGTGTTAATATATTAATTTTAATAGTAATTAGAATATATATATTTATACAAATAATGCGACTTAACTACGTAAAAGTATCATGCACTAAGTATAGCTGTGTTTTATGGCCGGGCGGGTCNTGTAACTCTCCAAACGCCACGCGTTATCGCATATTCCGTTGTCTAGACTAGACTGTTATACGCATTCACCCCTCCCCACGCCTCGCTCACAATACGACGGTACACTATTCCTATAAAAATTTATTTTTAGTTATCGTACCCGTACACGCGTGCTTGTCATCAATATTATATATATGTAAACAAATTTTTATTTTGACTGACCAATAACGCCCGCGTCTAATGCGCCTTACGTATATATATATATATTCCTACCGCCGTTTATACCTCGGGTATAACGTTAGTCCGACCCGCCCGGCCATAAAACACAGCTATACTTAGTGCATGATACTTTTACGTAGTTAAGTCGCATTATTTGTATAAATATATATATTCTAATTACTATTAAAATTAATATATTAACACGATTTATTCTAATTAAGAGATATAAAGTATTCATTCCGATTACGAGGGATGATTTCCGTATCGTCATTTTTCGTCACTACCTCCACGTTCCGGGAGTAAGTAATTTACGCGCCTGCTGCTTTCCTTGGATGTGGTAGCCGTTTCTCAGACTCCCTTCCCAGAATCGAACCCTGATTTCCCGTTACCCGTAACAACCATTATATTGATAGTAACTATTATGATAACATGAAACTAAAAAGTAAAANAAAAAATAAGTATTTACATATAAATAAATATAGTTTAAAAAACTAAAAAAACACGCTTTTAAAGCACATCGAACTAAAAAGTTAAAAATAATTTTTAAAATAAGTTTAAAATAATTATGAACAAAAAATACTAGTATAATTGTGATAAAAGCGTGGGTGCTTTGTGTCATATTTTTCGTATATTGAGCGCCTGACGCTTTTATCACAATAATACTAGTATTTTTTGTTCATAATTATTTTAAACTTATTTTAAAAATTATTTTTAACTTTTTAGTTCGATGTGCTTTAAAAGCGTGTTTTTTTAGTTTTTTAAACTATATTTATTTATATGTAAATACTTATTTTTTAATAATAAGTAATAATATTAAAACTTATAAGTGTTAGAAAAAGTTTAAATGCACATTTAAAACATTGCGAAAAGTTGATTTAGAAAGGTATATATTTGTTTCTAATGAAATTTCCATGTAGTCCAGTGTATATAACTTACAACTTTGTTATAAGTAACAAACTTTTATTGAAAAGTATTGCTTCAAGCCCTTTAAATTTTTATACGCGTTAAAAGTAAAGAAATATACAACTACTTTATTATTTTTATAATATCTCCGTAAAAATTAAAATATTAAATTATTGAATATCAATTTAATACTAAATTTAATTATTATAATTATTATTTATACATATATTATAATTAAAAATCAAATAGTTAATCGGGATAAAATGAAGGGAATAAGAGTTATTGTTGTTTTTGAAATAATCTACCAATTTCTTAAAATTAAACATTATCTACAGATTTGCATCGAAGCGTTTCTTATGATAGTGATTTTAATCACTGTCAGATATCATCTATACTTGTCCCAACTATGCCACGTCCATACTGTGCCGCGATCCCACTGTGCTACCGTTTTTTTTTTTTGATAAAATTGTCATTTTGAAGTTTGCCCTGTGGGTAAGTAAAGGGTCCAGTTTTTACCAAAAATATAAAAAATTATCTATGAAATTGAATATCCTTCTTTTACACACATCGTTATCATTTATGTATCCACAAATACTATACAGACCTTAAAGTTTAAGGCTTAAGAGGACGCCACACAGAACGTAAAACGTATTCAACGCTCCAGAGATAGCGTTGTTTTCCGTATCTGTGACGACCACGCCTTCCGTCATTTCAAAATAACCTCCTCGCGCATTCGTCGTTCGGAATTAGTGCATCATTCATAGTTTGACTGTCTTACATCGCATATCGTTTAGTAACATTGATTTGCGTTTCATTAGTAACTTAATGTCATTGAGTATAGATATCTAACTATCAGTGGTGGCTCGGTCGACGGGACGATCGTACCCCCTTTCTAAAATTAATTAAAAGAAGAAAATTTATTGTAGATTCTTCATTCTACATTTTTATTAAAATTGCAAATTTTTAAATAGTAAAATAGTTATTGTCGTGTGCGAGCATTAAAGTTGTTTTCCTTCATTATATACGAATACGCATGCACACACGAGCAATATGCAAAAACGTATATTATAAGCGTAGTTCCAAATCGTGTGTGTGTGGGTACCGTTAAGCTGCAATCTTATGTAAGGGTTTTGGACGACCCGCAGCGTCGTCCATACAGTAAAATATTCGTATTTTTAGAATTAACTACGTGTATGCACGTCGTTATAGTTTGTTATTAGCAATTAGCTCTCACCGAACAGATTTCTTTCAACAATACGTCAAAAGATCACAAATCATATCTAATCGAAGATATTACCCTCAAAAGTTGAAAAAATTTCCCTCTTTCTCCGTAAATGGAGGAAATCTCCAAAAAAATTACAAATTTAAAAATCGCTAATTTTCGACTTTTCTCAATTTATTTTCCTTAAAACTGTCACAACTTTGTTAAAAATGACTAAATCAATATAATTTTTTTTCTTATAAATGCACAATAACTTTACCTATCATTTAGTATAATGATTTTATAAATGTAACCTTTCACTTGCCCACAGGGAGGATTCAAAATGACAACGTTTTCACAAAAAATTATTTTTTTCAAGCTCACTTTTGAAAGTGTTCGAAAAGTATGACACTTTTATACATATATTAAATTATAACTAATAAAATATACTTTATCATGAAAAAAAAAAATCGGATTTTATTTTGTATTCATGGTGAAAACAAACATCAAAGTTAATAAAAAAAATACGATTTTTGTAAAAATATTCTTTTTTATATTTTTAACTTTATAATACTATAACTTTTTGAAAAATGTATGGATCATTATATTTTTTTTAGTTCTGTTTAAGCCTATACAATAAGTGTAGCTATTGTTGTTTTTTATCTTATCGTTGTTCGGCGGCTGCATAGTTGTCCGGTTTTAAAATCGATCAGTTTACCTTTGTAAAGCGCACCGCTCGCGTACAAATAAAATACGCATATCTATTTTTTTGTCTTTTACGTTTTTATTTAATTTTATCGAAGATCTTTTAGTAGTAAGAGATCACGCCAAAACAAGTTCTATTTATGTTTATATATTATTAATAAACACATATAAGGCGTGGTGTGGCGCGGTGGTTACACTAATTGTTGACAAAAGTCTAATGTTAAGTCGCGCCTACCGCCGTAGGTAAACGGATGGGTGCGCTTCTACGGAGGTTAAAAAGCACCATGTTGCCAGTGCAGAAGGCAACGGGAAACCACTGCACTTAATTTCCCTAGGATATACCACCATTGGTAAAACGACAAGGCGAGACCTTTAGAAGAGAGAGATATACATATATATTCATATATTATCTTTTATAAATCATAAAACTTGTAATCAGAATGTAAATAATAAAATAGGAGATCATGTAGCTTTTAGAATAATCGATTAATTTTTTAAAATTAAACACTGTCTATAGATTTGCATCTAAATGTTTTTTTATGATAGTGATTTTAAACACTGTCAGATATCATATATACTGGATCCAACTATGCCACCCCACTGGGCTAGGTTTTTTTTTTCAATCATAATATCAAATTCAAAATAGGGGTTCCCATCTAAGAAAACTCAAGTTAATGTATTTAAAATTTGAAAGGATGAAAAATATCATGTTTTTACTACATATAATAGTAGAGTTTATTGAATCAAACAATATTTTCCTTATCAAAAATTAAATATTTTCCATTGTTAGCGAAAAAAATGAGTGTTTTAACTTTAATTAATCACTCTGTATACATGGTGATCAGTTTATCATAAACCACTTGATTACTCGCCATATAAATAAAATATCGAAAAAATGAAGTTTGATTTCTTTTAGTTACTTATAATTCTCGATTTATTTTGAGATATTTATACTTAAAAAAAATTAAATAAAAATCTTGAAGGTAGTTTTTTGAATATTTGTGCGTTATATTTTTAACTAGGTATAATTTGGAATCTTTTGATGTATTATACAAAAATATTGGTCCAATAAGAACTAATATTAAATCGTAATTCATTAGCGACTGAAAGCGTTTTCATTAAAGACGTCGTGACTTCAAAATCTCACCGCAAAACCGCGAATAATTTCTACGGTGTCTAGGTAGAGCTTTCAAATAAAAGAAATTTATCGAAATCTGAGCATGCCAAGTACCTTCACTAAAAAACACGGATTTGTCGTAACTTTATTAGATCAGTAAGGAAATTTTTATACACCTCGATATTATCGATAGACAGAATTGATGATTGCAAAATCAAATAATGTTTTACTGTGACATATAAATAAATATTTCTATTTTTCGGAGAATTGAAACTGTCGCTATAATGGGACATTAAGATAACGCCACGGTCACTGACGACAACTCGCTGCTTGTGGTACGATTTTTGTCCACTCGACTAAAAAGCGCAGTTTTTTACATTTATTCTTCATTTTTATGTTTGACTTATAATTGATCTAATCCTGTTAGATTTCATCTTAGAGTTTTGAAATTTCGGGAAGGCGAAGAATGTAACATTTTGAAATGTTTGTAATGGGCTTTTTAGGATATCACTATTCATAAATAAACTGTTTAAGTTAAAAAAAAAAAAACTTGTATCTTTACAAAAATGTTACGGCTAGAATATAAATCTTAAGAAAAAAAGCCCATTACAAACATTTCAAAATATTGTTTTTAAATATCCTCAAAATTTCAAATTTCTACGATCACTTTAGACCGTGTAATAAAGATTATACTTTTGATAGTTTTTAAGCCTAAAATTACCGCGGTGTGGCGTCCTCTTAAACAGTATTATTTCTTAGGATATTAATTGTAATGATGTGTATTTTAAGATGCTTAAAATATATTTAAAGTAAAATAAATATATATATTATATAAAGTATATATTTATATACTAAATATAGAAATGTTCGTAAATTCGGTTCAATTATGTTTCTTACTATATAAAGTTTGTTTTTTTTACATTAGCTGCTTAATTTCCCTTGAAATAATATTATTTTATATTTTTCTAGCTTCGATAAGAAGCTGAAAAAGTATTAACCTTACTATTATGATTTTTTTATGTTTGTCGCCATTTTTTCTTAGATTTTTCAGATTAATTTGTGATCAGGAACTTATGTTATTACTATTAACTGTAAATTTATAATAAAAGCTCAATACTGAAATAAATAACATGAATAAAAATCGTAGTAATCATTTCTATGTAACTCTTGGTGTTTAAATGGATGCTACTATTAAATTTCTCAATTAAAAACATGTAAATTATTATTATTATTATCATCATTACATTATTATTAGAGATACATTTCATACAAAATTAGCCATAGGATCGTCATCTCTTCGCTTTTTCATATGGTAGGCTTCGATTTCTTCTTCAGTGGGTTTAGATACTTCATACATACTATTGTATGGTCTTTTTCTCTCATCCATTTTCATTATTCTATCAACTTCTTTTAAGCGTTCTTCTTCTTTTTCTAAAGCTTTTTTTAATACATCTTTCATTTCTTTTTTAGACTTCTTTTTTTTATCCTTCTTATTCTTTTTATGTTTTTCTTTAGATTTTTTTCTTTCTGATTCAGATGCTGTTGATGATGAATTAGAAGCTGAAGGTTGTGATGATAAATCAATAGACGATAACTTATTTTCAGAATCATTCAATTTTGGAATATGATTTTCAACTATGGGTACTATTTTTCCTAATTCAGGTATAATTTTAGATAACTCAATACCAGCTTTACCAGTACAATATGAGTTTTGTACAAGGGATCGACAACATTTATAGCCCCATTCTCCTGATTCCCAAAATGATCCCCAAACAGATAAATGATTGGTTGGATACACATCTTCTTCATAACGGGAACGTACAACCCCTTTATTTTCTCCCTAAAAAAAGAACAATAATGCAATATTTAAAATTAATAAATTATATAATAATAATTATAATTCATTTAATAAAACACACAATAATAATGAAAAGTATAAACAAAATATTTTGCCTCTAATAAGAAAAGCTTATGGAAAAGACTAGAAGAGTTCTTACAACTATAGGAAACAACAATCTGCATGACGAGTTCAATGAAAATATAAAAAAAATTGATTATATATGCAGTAGCAACGAACATGGTCTTAAGCAGTATGATGATTCCACACAAAAACATTCATAAATAGACTTGGAAATTGCCTTTTGAATAGTAGACCACATAATCGTAGACTGACAAATAACTCTAAACGTGGAAGAAGTGAGAAGTATGAGGGGTTGTAGAATGATTTCTGATTGTTTCTTCGTAAAGACAAAGATTAAAAACTTAATATTTTGCTTTATAAAAAACAACAGATTCTTCTTCCTCTCCTTAATCCCAACTACTTGAGGTCGGTCACCGTTATCCTAAACTTTCACTTGACACAATATCCCACATCATTTACGCTCACATTAGCTGTCCTCAAATCGCATTCAATAGCAACCCTCCATCCCTTTTTTGATCTTCCTCTACCTCTTCTTCCTACATTATTAATTTCAATAATTGTTCTTATAGCTTCTGATTTTTCTCTCCTCATATCATGACCAAACCATTTAAATCTATTTTCTCTCATCTTATCTACGATTGACACTACACCTATACTCCCTCTTATATGCTCATTCCTTATCTTATCTTCTCTAGTCACTCCACTCATCCATCTAAGCATTCTCATCTCTGCTCTACTTTCTTATCATATGCCCAAAACTCTGAACCATACATCATAGTTGGCCTCATTATAGTCTTGTAGAATTTACCTTTCAGCCTCACTGGAATTCTTTTATTGCATAAGACACCAGACGCTTCTCTCCACTTCAACCACCCGCACTAAATTCTGTGTCTTACATCCTCGTCAACACCACCACTCTTTTGCACAACTGACTTTAAATACTTAAAACTCTCCACCTCTCCAATCACGTCCTCGCCTATTGTCACTGACCTCCTCATTTCACCTACCTCGTGTTTTCCTTTGTCAAACTCGTACTCTATATACTCTGTCCTACACTTTTTACCCTGGTACAAGTACCATCATATCCTCTATTATATTAATGTACCTATTCGGGACTCTTTTTCTCATTAATGACCACATTAAAACCTCTCTCATCCAAATCAATAAATACCATATACAGCTTTTCCTCTTTTCCCTAAACTTTTCAATTAGTTATCTCGCATAAAATACTGGCTCCATTGTTGACTTACCAGGTATAAATCACACCTATATAGCATATAAATACACCTATATGTAAAGGTATGTCACCTTTACCTTTAAATATCAGCATCAAATACTATTCCTCCATTAATTTGGTATTTTCCCTTCTAATAAGATTTTATTTAAAAGTTCCTTCAATCACCTGATGCCAACACCGCCTATATTTTGCATACTTCTACTAGCACTTCATCTGGTCCTACTGCTTTATTCTTATTCATTGTTGCCACAGCCACCCATACCTCTTTCTCACTAATTAAATCTACCAGTCCCTCATTTCACGAGATATCTTCTAATATCTCTTTTGGGTACTTCTCATTCAATAATTTTTCAAAATACTCAATTCACCTTTTTTTCACATCATCATCACTCGAGAGTACCTTATTATAAACACTTTTTATACACCTTATTTAATGATAATCTTTAGACCTTTTCACTCTTATTTTTGCAAGTCTATAGATTTCCTTCTCGACTTCCTTTGTTCCTATATAATATATATATATATATTATAATATCGCTGAAATTCAGTACAATATCATTACCCAAAAATATATCAAGACAAACCCTAATTAATACATGATTTAAGTTAAAATCATATAGACATTTATTAAACCATAAAATATACCCATGAGACTATTCATAAGACATTAAGCATTAAAATATTTAGTATTTATATTTTATTTATTAATTAATATTAATATCACCACAAATAATATGCAATTTTCTCATTTTAAGTAGTTAAAAGCTCTTAAAAATTTTCATTACAACGATTTTCTGTTAATATACTCAGTAAACAATAAATACATGTTAAATAAAATGCAAAAATATTACTTTCATTAAAATAATATAAAAAACTACTATAACTTATTAGACCATCATTAATCAAATACATATTATTATTCTATCAATTTATTTAGCTCTTTAAAAAAAATTATAATTATTATTATAATCAATTTTAAAACCAATAGACATTTTCAAGCCATGTTTCAATTAAAACAATAACATCTCAAATAGAACAGTACTATCATTTAAATATATAATTAATTCATCAAAATGTTTACTAATACTATGAATATTCTAACTTAATACTGATTAATCATGTGACTTATTTATAATACCATCTAAAATATAAATAACATTTAATAAGTAAATTATTACAATCATAATTTATAAAATATAAATTATTACTTTGTAAACTTTCCATAATTATAGGAAATTTATGCAATTATTTTTTTTATTTTGTTTTAATTACTGAAGAATTTCAAAGTTAGTGATTTTAAAAACTTGTCCTCATTCTTCTACTCATATAAAAATTCCTCCTTGACTAGCCCATGTTATAAGTATAGACTTTAAATACATCCTTAAATATCTATAGTAGTTTTTTATTAGACTGTGTTAGTTGATCATTAATATATATAGCTACTAGAAATAATATATAACTAGAAAGTTTTGAGTGTAAAACACTTGCAATTAATGGATTAACTTCTAAAATAGAGTTTAACTTTATTCATAATTAAATCTTTAGTTGTTTTTGAGGTTAAACGTATAAAAATATTGCCTTTTTTCGTTTTCATGTGATTTACCTTTGAGAATCAATTATATCGAAATTCCAAGAATATTTTACCTATTTAAAATTTGGTTTTTTTTTTTTTTTGTAATAGTAGATGGGTGAAATGTAGACTTGTATGTATTACAAACCACCATTTTGGAAGAGGAAACACTAGCATAAAACTTTCCACAGAGGATATAGATGACAAATTAAAGACCTGGAGCAACAATAAGTCATGTTCATTTTTTGTTCAAAATAACTTTATTTTTGTTATCAAATAGAAAAAAATTATCTGTATTGGTATATTAATTAATTTTGATATATTTGATTTTTATATATAGAGTTATAATACTGATGGACATGTCTTATTGTCTTTTCAATACACCAATAAGACATTTCTGGACTTATATTTTGTTTGCTGAAAAATTGGAAAATAATGAACATGGCTCATTTTTGCATTAAAATTATTTATAATTTTATATTAAGTTATTAAAAATAAAAAAAACAATAACATATTACCTTTATAACATCGCCTCTTCTCGAATATTCTACATACTCTTCGGTTTGAGCTAATAAGAGCTGTATTGGAGGAGTTTGCATGTGCTCTTCTCCTCCATATTTTGCTAAAACTGTATTTTCAGTTTTTTTTTTGAAACGATCTTTATGAGTTTCATATTCTTTTTTAAGCTGTTCTAATTTTGTAGGTTCTGCTAAAAGATGAACATCAACACCTCGTTCATATGCTTCCCATGCAAATAATTGAGCTTGGGCATGTTTTGTAGTATCACCAGAGTATCGCACAAAATTTTCACCTGCATATTCCACTCTTAATTCATCAATTAAATTATTTGTTAATAAATTTTATTATCTCAATTTAAAGTTATTAAAAGTCATACTTACTGATCAGGATCTTCTCCAGGCTTATGAGGGTTATCTCTCATAGCTCGAGTTTTAGGATCATAATATGCTGAAGACAAATCTAAATTTCTAAGATACTTTGCAGTATCTTCTCTTATTCTCAAATTTCTTACAGTAATACGTTGTTTGCTGTCCACTTTAGTTCCAGGCATATCAAAATCATCTACATATTTATCTTCATCATCTTCACCAGCAGAACTATTACCCTATAAATCAATTTATCAAATAAATTATTAAAAATAATAAAATTTATTATTAAAATAATCACTTCTTTTTCATCATCATTTAGTTTTTGTGCACGAAGTTCTCGTTTGGCTTCTTCAATTTTTTGATATTGTTCAATTATAGTTTTATGCTGTGCTGGATCATATCCTGCCCAACGATCACGTTTACCATCAAAATCTTGATTAAGCACTGGTTGAACATGTTCATCAGGGGCTATATTCATATTATTATAAGCAGCCCCTATTTTTCGAGGCCTTTCAAAACAATCTTTTTTTGTGTGTGTCATTGCACCACAATTTTCACAAGCACCTTTTCGAAACTTTGTGCTTATTGATTCCTAATTTTTTTTTTAAATATTATACCTGTACTAAAAAATGGAGTAATAATTACTTACAGTGTTAACACCTCTTTTATACCATTCATTTAAACTGGAATATTCTTGTGGTTTATCTGGAACACGTTGATGTTTAAGGGTAGGACCTCCAGCAGTACCATAATACCATGGTGCAGATGATATATATTGAGGTATATGTGGATTAATATCTTTTCCTTCTTCATCAACAGCTGCTGGGGCTGTTCCAGCCTTTAACACAACGAATAAGAATTAAATTTGGTAACATAATTACTATCATTACTATTCTAAATAAAAATATAGAATAAAAAAAAGATAATGAAATCAAAATACTTTTCGCGCTTCTTCCAATTCTTTAGCTTTTCTCCAGTCTTCACGAGATTTTTTTTTTGGTTCTTCTTCATCTTCAGATTTTATTTTTAATACTTCTGATATTGTTGCCATAATTAATTTTTGTATTTACTTAAATACTATCGAGTATAATAATGGTTACACATTAAACGATTGATATGATAATATTTTGATCATATTTGATTGGAGTTCTTATCATAAAAATTCAAAACTTTGAAGGCTATACAAATACAAAAAATGCTTATCAGGAATTAAATTATAGAGAATAGTTTATTATGAAACAATATGTAATAGGAATGATATTTTAAAAACTCATATTTCTGAGGAAGATATTTGAAAAGAAATTAATTTGGAGAAACTGTATACATATTGATAAAATTAGTAAAGAAAATATTAAACTGTAAATTATACTTCCAAACCATACTAATTGGGAAAATATTTCTGAGATCTTGGAAAATGTATTATCAAATGATAATAGATAATAATTTTCGTCCATAAATTAAAATTAGCCCGTTTTATAAAATAATAAAAAGGACTGAATAATCTTAACTATTCAATTGGCAAAAAAAAAAGTTGATTTTAAATTGAGAAATCACTATTTTAACAAACAAAACTAGAATCCATACGAAATCTGTTACATAATCCAGAGGACACATTATTTTAGCATTTGCATATCTAGGGGATTAGTCGCCTTGACGTCATGGTTTTTTTAGACCTTAGTTGGGTTTATACATTTTACAAATGACGATTTTATATTTCACTATGATTTTCTTTTTGTGTTTAAAATATATTTTAAATACCTTGAGTATAATAAAATAAAAAATTAGTAGGTATTATCTAGCTATTAATTAATTTATAATAATGTTATGTATAAAAAATCTAATTTCTAGAGTGCATCCATTTAACGAGTGTGAAGTGAGCAATTTCTTATCAATTTAAAAATGCGGTAACAACTTCGTTACCAAATACATGGTACTAACTGAAGTCGCTAGAGGCCGCTATAATACACAACTTTAAGAAAATATTATGTTATTAACTGTTTCCACTAGAGGCCACTATAATAAGCAACAACTTCAAGAAAATATTGTTCCTAAATGATGACGATAGAGGCCGCTATAATAACTCACGAATGTAGTAAAACAATTTGTTATTCAATTTAAAATTTTGAAAAAACATATATGCAAATGTAAATACATTTATCCCCCCTAAACAACCTTCCTAGAATTTATTTTCTTGAATTTTGTTATTTCTAAAGTAGTGGCCGGGCACTACAGGCACGCTTACAATAATAACTAATAGATTGATTATAAACAAAGAATACTAATTTTTTATACATAATTCTAAATAAATAATTCACTAAAGCAATATTAATTACAATTTAGTAACACACCTTGTAACATAATAAAGTTATCATGAGTATAAGGTCACAGGTAACCATATTCAAACAGTGCGCGTCGTATATCTGTAGGGTTAGTGTTGCATATACACACATAATTAGTTATTAGACAAATCATTTTCCCTACCACCTGTGAGCCTTGACCATACCTCATTAGAATGGTCACGCTGTCACCTACCCTTTCCCATTGGCAATCGAGTCGGCTTTGGAAAGTATGGTTATGTTCAAAAAAAAGAATCATCATCATCGTCTCAATAAGTTTTTGATGGTTTTTTTTTTTACAAATCCACGATGGAGGAGTAAATCTATCAATTTGGCTTGGTCATGTTTATGACACTACCTCACAATTAACTATCTGGACTTGGACATCTCAACAAACTAAAATGTGGTATATTTATATTTTCTCTTTTGTATTCTTTTGCCATGCGTAACTTTGTACATGATCTTTTATATCTTTTGGGTTATTTGACCATGTGAGCAAATTTCATTGTTTTTAGTTAATGATTATATAGATGCTGACTACGGTTATATTTATGTAAATTGGTTAATGTCATATAATTCTATATTTCATTGTTCCATAAGCTGACAATATCCTCGGATGTGGTCAGGGTGGACATGGTGAACATCTCATTGGGTCCTCCACATTTATGTAGAAGATACCTATTGACGTTGGTGACATGTCCACTATACCCTGACTCATGCGACGGAACTGCCATGCTCATGTTTCCCCTTTATTCTATTCTAATTGTCAGTTATTTCATAATATACAGCTAATTTGAATTAAATTATAACTGTGGTCTGTTTAAGACAAATGAAACACTTATCAGTATCTCTAGATTATAAATGGTGTTTCTTTTAAATTAGACAATGTCAGGGGCGTTACGATGCTTTAGACCCATTACTTTAGTCTATATACATAAAGAAGAAAACTTTGTTAGTATAATTATATAACTCCAAATTCAGTGTCCACCTTAAGAGTACGACTATAAATTAATAAAGGAACAAAAAAAACAATGTACACTCTTGATATTAATTGAAATGGCCTTAGAATAAACTTCCATAATTCTCTTAACTTCATTCTCATCATTTATCCTGGTTTAAATATATCTATGTTTAGCTTTTCTTATACAAAAAATTTGGATAAGTTTTTTTCTACATTATAAATAATTTATTATGTTTAATAAAACTTAATAGATGCATTTTGTTCCATGTAAATTGTAAATTTTATTATATTATATTGTTTAGTTAAATTAATTGATTTAAATCTAAACCATTGGTTTTATATTTTATCATTATATTTAGTTATGTGTATTAGAAAATTAATAAAAACTGTTTTCTTTTATAACCTTCCCCCATAGGAAAAGGTATGAAATCCCTGGTCCTCCGGCTATGCCTCGGCCCAGGATGTACCCTCCTTTGGGTCCTTGTAAGTTTAGCTTACAACCTTTTAACAGGTATTATACTGGGTATAAAAAATTAAATACTTACTCAAAAAATAGGTAGTTAATAATTTATACTTCTTACTTTCTAAGATTACTGATTTTATTTGATTACAAAGTTGTCACACATATATTATTACAATAATATAAATTAGCTAAATGCTTTCATTTATAGGGCAGATATTCAAAAATTTGCTAAAATCCTATTTTATGTATACGTAAAAATAGGCCTCATATACATAAATTGTTTCATACCACAAGAAATTTAATTTGTAAATTTTTTATTGAATATTTTAGTATGTTTAGGTTCTTTCGACTTTTAAATGGATGCTCGATATATTTTAGTAGCTTTTAAATGTTTTTTTACACATTTCTTTCCCTGTCTCAAAATAACATTTTATTAAGACATGTATTAACTAATCACGACCACAGTTCTAAGTTATGCATTTAACGATATTATATGTAAAACCTATATATTTTGTGGCACTTTTGAAATCAGGTATATCATGTAACACCGTTATTTAAAATAAATTTCTAGTTAGATAATGTACAGATTTATTTTAAATTATATGTAAAGTAACTATAAAATGTAACCAATTTTATCAAGGTATAAAAACCGTGACGTCAACGGGGCTAAGCCTTCATCTCGTTACATCATTTCTAGATATTTTAGTTACTTAAAACTGAGTTATTTAGAAAATTAAAATTTGATAGAACGATTAATTTAAAAAAATTTAATAAAGTAATATTTTAGATATCTTTTAAGTAAAGTGAGTAAACTTTCATGTTTTAAATTTTGCTTAGAATTGAGCTTGTGTATTTTTCACACTTAGCATGCTAGTTATACAGAGTAAAACAAAATTTGGTAAAACACCCATTTTCTCAGAATTCAAATTCTGAGTAATTTTTAAAGAAGATTTTCAAAGAAAAAAATGATTAGATGCCAAAAGCTACAATAATATGTATAAAAAATTTTTTATCCTTTCAAGGATAAAAATCTTTTACTTTAATTTTATTAAATGGGAAACTATTTTTTAATTAATATAAAAAAAAAAAAAAAAATTACAAGTAATTATATTCTTATCATTTTTGTTATCTGAACAATTGCTTATCTAAACATGTTAAAGTTAAGCGATTTTAAACCAAATTTTCACTTATTTAAAAATACAGTATCCTCATATTTCTACACTGTCCAATAAATCAATTTTTATTAACTAAGACATAACAAATAAGATAGCAATTGTTTATCAGTCAGTATGGAACATTTTACTTGACATCTATATATATATAATAAATTACTTATATGTCATTAAAACAGATTATTGCTGCCACATAAAATCATATCAATGATAAATTTTTACTTTAAATTGAAATCTTTAAATTATCTTAAAACGCAAACAATTGGTTGGATAAAAAAAATTATAACAAGAATTGTTTGTATCTATTTTTCTATGATATTATTAAGTTAAAAATAAGGGTTCCGGTTTAAGAAAATCAGTTATTGATTTTCATCTTTGAAGGGACGAAAAGAAAAACGATTTAACTACATATTATTGTAGTTTTTTGAACCTAAAAATTTTTCTCTTTATAAAAATATAAAACTCAATATTTTTCCAGAAAATATTGAAAATAATTATCTTACCTAATTTTGATTACTCTGTATATAGAACTTCAAAACTATTAGTTTAGTAAAAGTAAGTGGATACCCTCAGATCATCTTTAAATATGTAAATAACTAATGAATTAAAATAATTTTATACAGAAATATCGTAATCTCTATAATGTTTAAATGTTAATTCACTTTACTTACACAGAAGACATTTTAATTAATGTGTTAATGAAAAATCTTTCAAAGCCTTAATCTTGAAATAAACAACATGAGTTCATGTTTGACTTATAACAAAAGCTGGTTTCGCTTTTGTTATATAAATTAATAAACTCAAAGTGTTAAAAATAATATATATATTAAAAAAAAAAATAATTTTATTTATATTTTTAAGTTTCAGCTGTTGGAGCTGCCGCCGCCCCTACAATTTCTGGACCCACCGCCGCCTCGGCTGTTGAAGACGACGCCCTCGCTGTTATTGGAGCCTCTGATACAAAACAAAAGATATATATTAGAAATTACCATATAGCTATAAGATAAAAAATCTTCTTATTGAACGACTTATATCAAGCCATAAAGTTAAAAATTATAACCACCCTTTTTGGGGGCACTCCCGCTCTCTGTGCCATATTCTCTGAAAAAATTGCAATCTGAAATTGATAAAATGATTATTATTATCATTTTAATATAATAACTTAAAATTTTTAGCAAAATTATAATTGGATCTAATATTAAAAAAGTTGTTAGTTTAAACAGAG